TCACTTTATTGTGCTTCACAAATGCTGCATTTTTCACAAATTGAAGGCAAGACCCTTCCCCTTGGTCTGAAACCAAACCCACAATATCTCTGAGGTGTGTCTGTAGGGGGTTTCTTTTGTGGATGCAAAATGTCCTGAAAGTAAGTAGTGGTGGTGGTTGCATAACTCTCATATATACCTAAAAACACACACACACACACACACACACACACACAAAACAAACAACTTTTAAAACGCTGACTTTCATGGTATGTGAACTTTATCTCAAGTTGTTATTTTGAAAAAATATATATATGTAAACCTAGGATTTTTATTGTTTATTTTCAACAAACACTGTATTCTACTTGAAAGTTAATTTTGAGAATTTCCTGTTGTGCAGTTAGCCCCTGACATCATTAAATGTGTTCATTGCAAGAGCAAGTTCACTGACAGTTCACAATGATTCCAGCTCACTTTGGATACAGTTTTTGTTTCCAGCCCAAGTTGGATGGAGTACTCATTTTTAAGCTATTCAAACATCAAAGACAATTTTTTAAAATTTAATCTCAATTTCTAAAGTATACTTTGATTTTTGTTTAAATGCAAACACAAGAGGAACAACTCAGATCCTACTCTCTGTGTATGCAGTTTCTCTTTTCTTAGTTATCTTTTTGTTTTCTGCTGTGAAGTTTTAAGTGCAATTCATCAGACACAAAATATTTTCAAACAGCTGTAATCAGCCTTAAACAATACACAGCAAAGCACCAAGCTTTAAATTGTTGCTTGAAGATTGAGCACAGAAAATCTGGAGAAGTCATGAATTGTGCAACAACAAAATGAAAGAAAATAAGCATTTGCATTGAGAAAGGAAATCAAATTTCAAGAAAGAAAAGGATAATTTTTTAAAGAATTCAAAGTATGAATTCATAGCTTTTCTTATTATAATTTTTTAACTTCTAATTTTTAAATTTTACTGGCATGATTATGTAGACAAAGCTTAAATAAAAGAAAATGTTCCCTGTCTCATTGTTTTCTAGCCATGATTATTATAATTATTATTTTTTATTCGTGATTACTAAAATTAATTTAAGGGTGTTAAAAATTATCTGCTTTGCCCTTGCCAGTTTGGCTCAGTGGATAGAGCATGGGCCTGAGGACTGAGGGGTCCCGGGTTTGATTCCTGTCAGGGGCAGGTACCTTGTTTGCAGGCGTATCTCCAGTAGGGGGTGTGCAGGAGGCAGCTGATCAATGTTTCTCTCTCATCGATGTTTCTAACTCTCTATCCCTCTCCCTTCCTCTCTGTAAAAAAATCAATAAAATATATCTCTTTAAAAAATTATCTGCTTTGAGTGTCAAATAGGCAAGGTATACAGCTGCCCTTTGGTGTTGACTGTAGCAAGGAGGGCACCTGTGATTAAAACTTTCCCTTGAACCAATGCCAAAATTAAGAAATGGTTTCTGGGCAGAGTCAAATGCAGGGCATTTTAAGGAAAGCATAGTCTGAAAATTAAGCAACAGGTATAGCTATAAAATTATATTTTAAAACCTCAGAAAGATTTAAGGTGGTGCTTCAAACAAAGGCCTTGTAAGGGTCTCAGAGGTATATCCAGCAAAATGTCTCTATTAAAACAATAGGGCATTTCAGAATCTTCAGGACAAGGAGTCCAAGCTAGAGAAGGGGTTATTGCAAAGAAATTTATATACAGATTTTTATCTAATAGGTTATATTATAATTTATGCCTACAATACCCACGAGGTATATATATATTTGGCCCTGGCCAGATAGCGCATCTGGAAGCAGATCCAACCTGGTCTTTACACTAATGATGCTATGTGGCTACATACAAAGGACCTCCCTTTGAGGTGGAAGGGAAAGGAATGTGTAGGGCTCAAACTATGGCCAAAGGTGGAATAAAATAAATTTTTTAAAAGAATCAGGCTAAGGAACTGGTTACCTATAAACATGGGCTTCTGTTTATTGAAAGGAAAGGATGCTTTAGAAGAGAAAGAGCCTAGAGCAGCGGTCGCCAACTGGTGGTCCACGGACCACTGCTGGTCCGTGAAGTCCAAAAGGTTGGCGACCGCTGGCCTAAAGGATAAAACCAAGAGCCACAGTGAACTCACAGGCAGTAGAACTAAACCAAATCTCAGTAGCTATGTCTGAGAAACCACCCCCAAGAAGCCTCATCCACATCTGGATGAGATCCTGGACTTTTAACTGATGCCATAATGGGATGTAACTTGGGGAAAGGGTTGAGTGTACTTTGCAGGTGGGAGGGATGTGACTTGTGATCAAAAGATGGACTGTGACAGATTGTGTTTTCCAAATATTTCCACAATAATATCTAACATCCCACATGCCCTTTTGTAACACTGACACTACTCCCATCAAATGGTGGAATCTGGATTCCCCCCTCTTGTGTCTTGTCTGGACTTCTGTGACCACCTGAACCAATAGAACACAATGGAAGTGATGCGATGTGACTTGCAAGGCTAGGTTAAATGTCATGCTCTTCCTTGCACCATGTTATTTTGGGCTACTTGCGCATAGAACCTAGCCACCATGCAGTGAGAAACCCAAGCCTCATGAAGAGGCCACATATAGATGTTCAGGCCAACAGCTCAAACTTGAGATCCCAGTCAACAGGCAATATCTACCACCAGACATGGTGGATGCAGAAGCCTTTGAGATGACTCCTGCCTCAGCCACTGTCTGACTACAACTACAGGAGATTCCCTAAGTGAGAATAATAGCTGAGCCACCAGAACTATAAGATAACAATAAATGACTTAATGATTTTAGTCACTAAGTTCATGTTTTAAGTCACTAAGTTCATGTTTAAGTCACTGAGTTAATCTTTTAAGACACTAAGTTGATGATTAAGTTAATGTTTGAAGTCACTAAAATAATTGTTAATGTTTTAAGTCACTAAGTTTTGGGATGATTCATTATCCCAATTGATAATTGGAACAAACATGCAGAAGCCAAGGAGAGGAAGGAGAAGAAGGCCTGGGGAAAAGAGCTAACCCAGTACTTGTATCAAAAAGTGTTGACAGAGATGATAGGCCCCTTGCCTTATAAGAGACAGAACTATATAGGCACAGGCATATGGGGTCAAACCGCATCTGTCCAACAAATGGCATTCTACTTTGTGGATGTCAACATATAGGTGGGCCTCTAGCAAATCCAATATGGTGGGGGGGATTTCCTAGTTCTCTGTTCTCCAAGTCACCTTTAACTGATTTTTTTCCAGCCTCCATTCAACATGAACAAATATATCACCATCAGAGATATATACTGACGGGGGTAGTGTAGATTTTGTAGAGGAGACATCATGGAGAAGAGTTTAAAAAATTTAACCCATTTCTAAACAACCATGAAGAGTCAGGAAGTAATACCAAAAAATGAGCCTTGGAGAAGAGTTCTGTACAACTCTTTAGGGGAAAAGAAGAGGAGTATTGGGCTGTCCATTGAGGTCCAGGGGTCATAGGTAAATACTGTGTTCTGTATTCTCACCTACCTCTCAGGTGAAAAATTTATGTAGTAATCTTGTTGTGATAGAAACTATTTTTTTTCAGGAGAGGATGTAACAGGATAAAGAGGTGAAGATTTTCTGCTTTTGGCAGCTGTGTGAGTTCCTCACAGGGAATTACTTAAGAGGGTATATTCAGACTCTTAGTCCACAGCTTTTTAAAAAAAATCTTGAGAAGAACTGAGTATATCCAAACCTTGGAATCTGGGGAGTGGTCATGGAATTACAACCTAAAATAAAAGTGGCCAGGAGGTTTCAGCAGACTCCCAAGCTACATATAGACACAAAATAAATAAATGAATAAACAGATGAATTAATAAGTAATTACAGCACAGTTATTGATACCTTTCAATCAGGAAGGCCAGGAAGAGGACCTGAGTGAGCCTTCTCATTTCCAGGAGGGGCTGAGGGGAAGCTGAGGATCTAACACCCCCAGATGTGAAGCAGGGAGCTCAGGGCATGTTGAGATGGTGTCAGAGCATAGCTGCTCTGAATCCCTATATTCTTCTGAATTCTGCTAATGGCTACGCCAAGTGTCAAAGCAGGACCTAATTCTTACTCCTACTATGTGTACTGGTTAATAATGGTGGATTTTGTAAACAAAGAAAACAAAAGAATTTCAAGAGAAGCATCAAACGTGCTTTCTTCAAAGTAATGTCCATTGCAAGTTACACATTTCCCCCATCTTTCAGGTAATTGGTGAGTGTATAAGCAGGAGTCTTTATTGTAGGAGCCAGTGGCCATATGGCCATCAGACAAAACAGTTCTTCACAACGAAGTCTCAACAGGCAGCTGCACACCAGTTGATGAACAAGTACATCTTTCCCACAAAGTAGCAGTAACCTCTGTACCCACAGTCATTATCTGAGCAGCTGCACGCTGCCCCTAGACCTACCGCCTCACATAGCAGCAGCACCTGAGCTCCTAACCTCAGCAGCCTCAGTAGCCTCTCTCCAGCCTCTCCAGCCTTTCCCCTTTTCCGCACCACTCTAGCTGGTCAGTCACGTGGATTATAGCACTTAGACAAAGAGGCCTCTTGCCAATAGTGACATCATATTTTGGCTACTGAAAGGCACATGTGCACAGTGTACCGTGAGATTGCTGTCCTTGCACCTGTGTATGGCATCTTAGTCTTGAACATACTGATTAAGATTCCCATATTCAGAGTGGCCTTGGCCGTCAGCGTGCTAACAGCAAGACTGCAAGACCTTCACTCTCTAACTGCCGGAGCAGGGCAGTTATGTCTGCCTTCTGTCTGTAACGCCACCCCCTCCCTGGAGGCTTCCTTAGGGAAAATGGGTGGGAGGTGGCATTCGCAGTCTCAGCATTCTCAGCAGTGGGTAGAGGATGAGTCTCAAGGATGCTGTCTATGCGTGGGACAAGGTCTGTCAGTTAGCATCACTGCAAGGCAGCATAACCTGTATGCCTGTCTGTCTATCTGTCTGTCTGGGCTGTGGGTTGGGGGAAGAGATGCTAAGACAACCACAGGCCGGGGGTGCTCATATGGCCACACTGTTTTCCACTATGCTGGGTCGCAGGTACTCGTAGGGCATATCCAGCTTTGCATTCCGGACCTCAATTTCCTCATCCAGGGCAGCCAGCTCCTCCCTGAACTTCTTCAGCGCAGCTTTGGGCTCAGGGCCTGAAAAATACTCCTCCTCATGCTGGCCCAGAGCCACCTGAGATGGAGAGAGAAAAGCAGCTGAGAGCCTTATGAACCCCAGTTTGGAGCGCCACACCTCCCCACAGCTGCCCCCTTCCTCAGGGACCAGGCCACCCGGCTCACCATAAAGGGCTGACGTCTGCCCAGTTGCCAGGTAATGGACATCTGGAGAGAAGCCTGATGAAAGTTGGGCAGTGTGGCCATCACCATCTCCAGTGTCACATCCTTGGTGGTTGGTGAGGGCAGCGGCATTGTGCAGGGTGTGTTAGGTCAGATAAAAATAAATATCACATGATCTCACTCATTTGTGGAATATAATGAACAACATAAACTGATCAACAAAAATAGATCCAGAGACAGAGATAGATCCAAACCCCAGCAGGAAGGCAGAGGAGAGTCGGGGGGAGAGTAAGAGATCAACCAAAGGACTTGTATGCATGCATATAAGCAGAACCAATACACACAGACACTGAGGGAGTAGGGGCATGTGCTGGGGGGGTGGGAGTGACTGGGGTGGGGTCCATGGGGGGAAAAGGAAACATATGTTATATTATGAACTATAATAAAATAAAATAAAATAAAATTAAATTAAATTAAATTAAATTAAATAATACAAAAATTCCTCTTAGTAAAATAAATAAATACATAAATAATAGCTAGTGCTCTTTCTGGGTCCCACAGCAAAGCGCCCCCTGACCCCTAGATATGGAGGAACAGGCAGGAGCTGCCCAGTATGTCAGGATTTCTAATGTCCAGATCAAATCTGTTGGAGAGGTGGGAGCCTTGGCCTGGAATCCTGAATATTCCTGAACTCTGGGCTCTGAATGCCATGGACCTTGGGTAATATCTGCCACTCCATGGACATCAGTTCCCCAATTTTCCATTGAGGGTTGGGTTCAGAACTGCATAAGCCTGAGCTCAGAACAAAGGGGTCAGCTCCCTCCACCCTGGGTGGGTATTGGACAGAGGTGCCTGCATGCGGTTCCAACTCTGGGCTCCTTTTCAGACAAATACTGGCCAAAAGCTCATCTGACCTGCTGAATGCTCACCATGTCCCCCATGCCTCTCCATGTCTGTGCATGATTCCACCAGCAGATCCTTTTCCAGAGCCCCCGCGGAAACCTGGGTGCAGCTAGGACCCCAACTTTGAGGACACACCGCTGGGTTCATCTCAGGCTCTGTTGGGCTCAGTATCTTGTTCATTTATTTCTAAATACATATTACCCTTCTGGAAAAAGCATGTGTGGGTATCACTGATTTCATAAAACAAGCAAACAAACAAAACATCTCTCCCTATCAGTTGAATTGGGGCAGATTTTATTAGCAAAGATAGATATTTGCTACTATTGCTATAACATTCCCTAGTTGGAAACAGGTTTTGATTAAAAACAGACATTGGTTAAATACTCCTGCCATTTCCACAGAAGCTTTACTCTGAAGGAGAAGACCATTTGTTGGGTGTGGTTAGGAACAAATAGAGTAGCCCCAGTATCTACAGGGGTCTTAGTGGCTTCTCTTACTTGATAATTTCACCTGCTCCCAAACTATCAGTGAGAAGGGGAAATACCCTCGGATCAACACTATGGTTGTTTTGTGGGGTTTTTTTTCCCCCTTTTTCTACATCCTATTTTAGTTTCCTATGATTCCAACAGTGGACAGACTTCTCTACAGGAATTTTCTCGCAAACCTTATTTAGAACGTGTGTTGCATTTGCTGACAGAATCCATTAGCTATATTAATTGGAATTGGTTAGAATAGCCAGGATTACATGTTCTAACAGTTAAAAGTCTTTGTGAACCCATCAGGGTCATTGAGAAAATATGGAACAATTGCTGGTTCCTCTCTTGCTGAGAGCAGCTTTTCTCCAAAGGGAGCTGTTAGAATTCCTATTCTCATTTTCCCTGAAGTCAGTAGGGAGTGGTAGTGGAGGGGACTGAAGGGGGAGGAAGAAGGGATGGGAAAGTGGGAAGGATATAGTGGGGGAGCTAAAGAAA